ATCTAAGCTAAAACAAATAAATGTAGTAGGTATTACTGTTGCTTGTTGATATTCATTTTTGTTTTTTCGCAGTGTGCTTCTGAGATTAACTACAATGTCAAYATTACCCAATAACGCTGACACTCAATTGACATTAATTATTATTAATTATTTGCCCAAAATGCATCGCGTCACAAAGCTTTTCGTGGGTCGTAATAACCGGACTGTGTAGACACACATATATTTAGCACGCTGGACTAGCTTGGATTTTTTTTATTCAAATATTTTTAATAGTGTGACTGATGTCGGGAATGTGCTTTACGTGAAAAAGATTTATATGGAAAGAAGGAAAGCCATAACAAGCTACTAAGATTTGGGACGGRTGTGACGGGCTGGCTGTGTTTGTTCAAACCGTACGGGACCTGGAACGAGTTGATAGAGAGTTAATGGCGGCGCTTTCAAGCGAATGTGGTCGTTCAACTACCAAAACTGTTCRTRTAACTTATCAAGAACTTGTTGAACTAGCCGAAGCTTTAGAGAAAGACAAGARAGAAAGGACTTACAAAGCGAAAAGCGAAGAAGTCGAAGGGGCTTGTTCAACAKACGTTTCTCCTTGTGAAAATGTTAGTCCCAGCAAGGAGACGAACAGTCCTATCTCCAAGTCTGARAAAAAAACTCTAGAGGACCGAAAGAGCAGTTCAAGAAAGGATTCTGACAAAAAGAAACATAAGGAAAGAAAGCGTGATAAAAAAGATGAGAAATCACTAAAGAACAARGCCGAAAATGAGGCATTTGAAGTTCAAAACAAAGAATTTGTAGAGGCAAATTTCACAGCTGAGCTTGGTGATGACGAAGACAACGCTAAACAAACTGCCAAAGATAAAAAGAAACTTCGAAAAAGAAGTCCAAAGTCTAAAGAAAAAAGTAYTGAAGAAACTGCTAATATAGAGGAGTCGGTGGAGAAGCTGAAATTACACGATAATGATCAAGAATCGAAATCCAAGCACAAAGAAAGGACAAAAAAGCATTCAGATTCTAAAAAGAAAGAACGAAAAAAGTATAAGCAAAATAACGATGAGTGCCCTGACGAGGAAAGTAAGGTTATAAATCACAAACAAGACTTCATTAACAATGAAGATGAACAATTAAATAATGATCATCATCATGGAATCCTGAAGTCTCCTAACTCCAAATCTAATCACTACCATTCCCATGTTAGCTTTAGTGAAGAAACAGATTCTCATATTATTGATTATAATACTGGTGAGGAACGAGGCATACTGCGTATCCCACAAGGTGTTAATATCCACGATGGTGAAGTAATWGAATCCCAGCAGTACACAGACAAAGATATAGAGGCTGAATACAGCAGAAATGATGATGTTTCTAATAGCATTAGCAATCAAACCCCCGTACAAAGCTCACATTCACAGTCAGATGTCTCTAAAAGTAAGTCTTGTGAGCAAGAAGACCTTAAACTCAATTCCGCTGAGAAAAGAYTAAGATCACTTAACAGACAAAGAGCGCAACAGCTAGTAAAACAAGCACACCATGCTGAGAATACCCTTAGTAACCTACTCTCAAAAGGAGTCACTGAACAGGGAACACTAAAGAAAGTGTTCTTGTTAAGCAAAGAAATMCAAGATTTATATCAAGGAGTGATTATGCTGGATCTCAGTTTTACTCAACAGCACGACATAGATCAGCGTTTATGGAAAAACGCTTTTTATCAAGTCATTGAGACATTTAGGAAGTATGGAAAGCTATTTTTAGGGTATTCTAGTCAAAAAGATACCATTTCTCCAGAGAAAATTAATGCTGAGCTTGGTGACTTTCTCCAAGCTGCTGGTAATTTTTATTCTGGTCTTTTAAATGGGCTCCAAAAGACATATCATTTTGATGTYCAGGTTATTGTTAGCCAGCCAAGGAAAGCAGAATTCTTAGCAAGAAGTGTAAGTACAAAAGGAATAAAGCTTATCAGTGCTTGTATATAAATTGAGGTCATGCATGCACAAAATTGTTGCAAGTTGCAAGAGTGTTTTTACATGGGACATCCCCTTGTGCAACTTCAACTCTTCATTTATTTGTCACACAAAAAGAAGAACTGGCTCCTACCTTCTGCAACAATTTTTGGAAAAATTTAAATGTGACATGGCTCTCTCTTTTTAAGTGCAACACTTGAAAAATTATTAAATTAGGCACATGAATCGATCATAAAGCGATAACCAAATGCACTGTAGTGAGTCTTTTCGAATGTGTGCAATTTGCAGCATTTTTTGTGTGAGCTAAGCTGCAACTGACATTGCTAATGCGATATGATCTTGTGCAACATGCAACAATTTGTTTTGGAGGACAAGCTTTCCCCCCCCCCCCCCCCCCCAAAAAAAAAAACTATTGTAACATGGACTTAAAATATCAAAAATGTCATTTGTGAAAAAATTACATGTACATGTAGCAGATGAAAAAAAAACATCATGAAAATGTGCATTTACAATCGTGTGTGTTTCTACAGGCCAAGCTTGCACTACTAAGTTGTCATCATACCCTAATCTTTCTGGGTGATATTGAGAGGTACAAGAATCAACTTAAGCCTTACAGTACTTCAAACTGGAGTGGCATTAGAAGCTGGTATCTCAAGGCATCCAAGCTAGCACCAAAGAATGGCAAACCATATAACCAATTRGCTGTAATAGCAGTGTATGCTAATCGCAAGTTAGATGCTGTCTTTTACTATGTGAGGAGTCTGTGTGTGAACTCTCCTATTCTCACAGCTAAAGAAAAACTAACTACAATTTTCTATGAAATCCAGAAAAAGGTAAACTATTTGATGGTATAGTTATGAAAATTCTCATTATCAATCACGATAGCCGAAACAGTTCAACATCATTCAGATTTTCCAGAGTAAAAAGAATTTCATCTGATGTTAAAGCAATGTTTAAATGCTTTTTAAACTGCTTCAACATCAATTTTCCAGCATTTTCAAAGCCTTTCTATGAACTATTTTCAATATTGTTGTTCAACAAAATCACATTAATACAGTTGAAGCTGTTTAAAAATGTTTGTGCTGTGCTCTAGTGAACAGAGAAAGAGGCAGTAATGGAAACCAAACAATTCCTTATTTACCAATTCCTCCTCTGTTTGCTGATTTTCACATGAATCAATAGTGCAGCATTCCATTGTACATTTGTAGGTGTATCACTGGTATGCTCACCACTTTAATGCATTGATTAGAGCTTTAAGAACTCAAATTAAAAAATAGATCTAGGTTGTTGGCAGAATACAAAGTTTGATAGCATGTGTGTTTGTGCATCCTTTATAGGCAGATCAACTACACTGGGAAGAAGTTCAAGAGAGGAAACGTCAACATGAAATGAAGGTACAACGAGAACGGAGTGCAGGTCGTGGTCGCAATGTWTTTCGTGAAGTAGCTAAAGGAGTTGGACTTGTTGGTGGGACAAACAGTGGAAGGTGAATATTGTAATGAATAGAGTGACGTATTGATACATTGTATTTGTGAAAGAATGGTCTGGATGATTATCACAACACAGATTTCGTATGAGTGGGACACTGTTATCGCACGGTTACTGCACAGTTACCGCACCTGGCCTGCACAATTGGCCGATAACAAAACGAAAAAGAGACTGGGTACGAACTTCCAAATCTAATTAAATAATGGTTCCAGAAAGAATAACCCCATCATGTGAAAGAGCACCTTATAAAAGGCTTACTGACTAAGTTTCATGATGTTTGAACTTATAGCGATAAAGTTACGGACATTCAAACCATGCCAAAATTACAAAGAAATGTATGGTGTCCAGCCAAAGCGTCCAGCCAAACATACATTCTTTGTAATTTTTGAAAATTTTGAAAAATTATATTCCCAATTGTAATGACTTAAACTTGCTCAAACTTTAAAGTTTAGCTAATTTATATGTGCTTTATCTATCAACAACAGATTTCTGTAAGATTTTTAAAATTTTCAGTCCCAGGTCCCTGCTCGTTTTGTTATCGGCTAATGGGGCATTAGAATTTGGTTACAGTACGATTACGGTCACTGTACAGTACCGTCCGTTTCCCACTCATACGAAATTCGCTCTATAGTCCAGGGGCTTGTTGTACTGTACATGTACATCAAGAAGACTGAGTTATTTTTTCATAAATTCAATTTTATCAACAGTACTTTAAGTACTGTAAACATGATTGTATACCCAGCAGAGATTGGAAAGTTCATTATAATTACTGAATTTAATCATATGAGGAAGTAGCTGATCCCATTTTAAAGAGTGCTCAATACACATATAGTGTAGAGTTAATTATATATTATTTATTATATAGATGATTTCTAACCCACGCTCTGATTGGCCAAAAAAGTGTGGTTTATGAGAGTATTTTTGAATACGGCAACAAAATGGATTTTTGCTTAAGTTTTGCTCAAAATCTATACACCCTTGTAATAAGTCCCGAGGTATTGAATTTTCCGCACTTGACGTCAAATTTATTATTTTGAAATACAAAAGGAATTCAAAAGAATAAATTTGACGTCATGTGCGAAGGATACAATACCTCAGGACTTATTAAAAGGGTGTATATATCTATATCTATATCGCTTTCAGCTCGTGCTTCTTGACATTTTCTCATGTRTTTTCAAATGCCAAGCGTGCGTTTATCAGAGTATAAACCACGGCTGAGCCTTATTTATTTGTTAAATAATAGCAAAGAGGCAAGATTTGCTGTTAAAATACTGTCAGTTTGACGAGTGTGAAACTCGTCAAGCTGAGTGTGAAACTCGGAGTAACAGAAAATCTTGCCTCTTTGTTATATACAGTATTTGTATATAATATAATTACTGAATTTAAGTATTTTATCATTTTGCCACATGACTTGTGTTCAAAATTCTTTGGTTGTTTTTAGAAGACTTGTTTACATGTACAGTACAGTGTAAGCCAAAATAAGTGGTGATGTGTTTTAAGCTCCTCCACAAAGTTCTTGTGTGYAAAATCCAATTATTGTTTCCAGGCATGAAATTTGGKTGTTTATAAGACAAGGGAAATACAGAAGACTTGTGCTTACTGAACATGGTGCTGTTCARCAAGTTGATGCTATGGGTAAGCCTATCAGTAGAGATGTACAGGAGGAACCTGAACCAAAGAAAGAAACAAAACAAGAATCTCCAAAAATCTCTCTACAGGAGGTGTGTGTCATTTTGTAAAATCATGTATTTTCAGTGAGATGCATGTTTGATATGAAGTTTTTTGGCAATACAGGTTACAGTCCTCTTATTATAAACTGATCATATTACACCTCAGGTTTTGCTATTTATGGGTTGTTAACAAATGTGCTACATCATGGGTTGTAAACCTGAAAGACATTTGTGGTTTAAGCAGAATACCTACTTACTCTTTCGCACAATTTCCAGTTTTAATTAATGTTATGTTTAATACTGCACAAATTTGATTTATTTCTTATGATTTGCATATTTATTATTGTTTGTAGTACGAGTATAATGTTTATTGGATTTCAGGTAAACAAGAAGTTTATGCTGCATTTTCTCTGTGCTCATGGCCTACTTTATACAAGGATAGGGTAAGCGTATGTTCTAAAAATCTCTGGTTTGACAATAAAGGTCAATGACTGGGACTCAGGGTTAAATGTAAAACCATGAATCCAAAAACAAAAGCCAAATTGGATTATCAGTTAGAGATCTTTTGTGTAAAGAAGATAAGTTTAACACCGTAAAAAAGTATGGGAAATAACTTACTGACGTTTCGGATGTTAATCCTTCGTCGGAGTAAAGAGCGAAGGATTAACATCCGAAACGTCAGTAAGTTATTTCCCATACTTTTTTACGGTGTTAAACTTATCTTCTTTACACAACTGTTTCTTTAGAAACACCGACGCAGCTCACACTAGTTTACCCCTAGTTCCCACCAGTTAGAAATCTTGTCTGGTCTTGTGTCTCACTTTTGAACGGTCCCTACATGTGTTGGGTCTTTGATGTACATGATATTTCTGTCATCTTTAGGATGGAAAGACTTCCAGGTCTGCAAGTTCAATTAATTGGTGAACTTCATACTTTACTGAGGTATCCTCAGTGTTCTTCAGTTGGATACTATCCACTGCTACAGATGGCTGCTATCAACATGTTTGCTATTGACCATACAGCACCACAAGGTAAACTAATCTTACAAAAGATATCTAAAAAAATGCAAATTATTATAAATGTCTAAAATGTTATATTATATTAAAATTTAGTTTGCAGCAAAGACTGTAAATTATAGTGGAGACAAAATCATTTTTCTGATATACTTGTAAACTTTTGAAAAAAACTTAAAAATTAGTTCTATAATGGAGGTGCTAATTTTGTCGTGGGCCAGATTTCAGGTACATGTACATGTACCTCATAAATTATTAGTTTTCATTATAATTACAGTGTACTATTATTTTTTCACATAAGAAAGTACGGTACATGTACATGGTAAGGGGTTGTAATGTGTTTKATTTATAAAGTACATTCAACTTTCATTTTTCAGAAGAAACCAAGGAACCATTTGTAAGACTGGGTACCCCACAAGACCAAGCACTTAACCTATCAATGGAAGTACTGGTTACACTWCTAAATGCTTGCACTGAATTACTCAATGGTGGTGACCATGGTAACATGTTAAGTGACACCTTACGTCAGTATGTACCAACTATCAAGGTGTGGTTTGATTGGTTGATATGYCATCAAGATCTTTGGCAAATATCAAATATCAGGTGTGTTGAAGACACTGTATTGTAAAATGACTGCCACACATTAGCCTCATTAAAATATTACCCTAAAATTATAATTGTAGAACTTACTTAAGATTTTACTCAGCTTCTCAATGAACCATAATCTTTAGTTTTCAGGGACCATTTTGTCAGTTGCTAATTGACACACCCATTTTGGCCTAGCCAACCATGGCAGCAAAACACTACATAACAACATCATAATTTAGTTTTTTGCTCTTGKTTTTGTCAGTATCCACAGAACACTTTGGGAAGCTGTCTCTCAGTTCACTAATGCAATTTTACAGCTACAACTACCATGTTTTGAGGAAGACGAAAATGGTGAGACCTTGGTTTGTGATACACTGTAAAAAATAGTAATTTCAAGTTTATTGTAATTTTGCTTTGAGACAAGACAAAAGRCATTAAGTCTTCTGACACAGTAGAACATAGTCAACTTTACAAATGTAGATATTTTGGTTCAATGACTATGTACAAAAGAATGCATGAGGCTCCAGGAAAAYAATGGATAATCTTGATTTATTCTTTTATTTCCTGAAGCCTYGTTTGCAATTCTTTTGTRCATGGTCACTGAACAAAAATATCTAAAGTCGGCTATTGCTTACTTCAATATAGTGTCCATTTCAAGGCTATAATATTATATAAAACATACTGCCTAACATAATTTTATTCTGTATGCATTTGTTTGTTTTCAGAGGAAGTTCTTGTTACTCTGACTGAGGATGAATTTCTAGCTGGATTTAAACCTCTTATCAATGCTGAACATTCAGTTCTTRATATAAAGATTTCACAAAACAAGGTAGGTGTACATTTTACATATTATTCATTAAATGATTAATTAATCATCATGTTTAGTTATTGAATAAAGCAATAAACCAACACTTGCCAGAATGAATGTCAACATGGTACAGGTCCCAGTTTGATTCCCACTTTAAAACATGTGTTCAATACAATKTTTTTGTTGCGATATGATTTCAAACTCAAATATTGTCATGGAACAGGAGGGTTGATAAAGTTGTGTAAAAAGATAAATTTACACTGTAAAAAAAGTATGTGAAATAACTTACTGACGTTTCTGACGTTAATCTTTGTCGGAGTAAAGAGATGGAACTAGGTATAGTGTGAGTTTATATAGTAAGAGTAACAAAGAGAATAGACCAATAGGAGCAAGGTAGGCATGGTGACGAGAAATAAACAAAAAAGCAAAGGAAGGGTAAAACAAAAGRACAATAAAGGTGCTAAAAAGGGAACGAAACAACCTATCTGAAAACAAAGCGTTCATTCAACCCATGGGGATTATAAGTGCCCAATAAGTGAATAAGCCGCATTTCTTTGGTTTTTTGCGATAATCATTATTGCTGCTAATCAAAGACAAACCAAAAACAATAAAGTTAGAAAGTAAATGGTTGGGTTGATAAAGGGTGAAGATGCAAGCAGAGATAGGCTTCCCCTCCCTATATGCAGCTGCATTGGATCCCTTTTGTAAACATTCACTTGCTGTGGACTTCTTCCTATTAAAGGGGCACAGCCCTCAGCACTCAATGCCATCTCAGTTTTTTAATTTAGAGTTTTCATATAATATTGAGGTGATTTCGAAGATCCATTCACAACCTGTTTTCATTGGTTGGTTTCCCTCTAGGAGCTTGTGCAAGACCACCTTCATATTGCAGCATTCAAGAAATTTGCAATGCAGATGTCATCTATGTCTAATCCCACAATGCAGTACTGTGAGGAGACAAGACAATTTTCTGCTGTGATACCCAGTCTCCCTACATCACCAGAACAAACTGACTCATCTGTAGCTGTGCATATGGATGTTGAACATCAAAATAATCAGGTCAAAACTTATTTAAATACTTATACTTATTGATACAATACATGTACAGCCTTTTGCAAAAATTATGAGGAATTGTTGAAATATCTAAATATCATAATATCGAGTGCATGATGGGTAATCCTGCGCGATAACCCCTGTCTTTGTAGTTTAGGTTTTTTTTGGCGACAGACTTATCCGTAGTTCTGAACATTTTCTCGATGTCAACAATGAATTATTCTAGCAAACTCGCGTGTTCTGGACAATATATGGATTTGGATATTATGATATTTAGATATTTATACAATTCTCATAATTTTTGCAAAAGGCTGTATACACTCACTACTAACAATATATGATGATGATGAATATATAATTTAGTTAATGAGTGACATTATTTTATGAACATTTTAGTTAGTAACAATTAAGGTACTAGGTAATACTGTACAGTTAATGAATGTACCTGCAGTAATTGTTTAACAGTCAGTAATACAAGCATGGGTTTCAGTTACTGGTACCATTAGAGTGGTTTTGGTTACCACACTTTATTGCATTCACTACATGAACTTTGCACATTTTTCTTTAATTGTTTTAGTACAAGTTTTCAGTGTTACACATTAGACCTATTACACTTTAACCATTGATTTGAACTTTGTTTCATAGGTTACTGAAAACCACTCTTGACTAAAGTTATTAAAAATATTTATTTTAAATATACAGCTAAAATAAATGTCATTCGATTGGATCACTATATTCAAGWCATTTGTTTGTTACAACAGGAGTGCTATGAGTCTGATGAGGTGATAATTGAAGGTGTATTGGAAGACATTGATTCAGGGTTAGTATTATATTGTCCTGCTATTCACACTCTCCCCAGATGCTTACAAGCCAAGATTGTCAATAAAATCCATATATGTATTTACCAGTTATGATATTCAGCATTATGAATTTTTACATTTTGAAGTAATGAAATGATATGCTGGATCTCAAAAACCTTTGTTTTTAAGGGATGAAGCTGACAAAGGTTTCAAGGAGCTCAAGGTAAAGTCTGTTTAATAACTTTTCTCAATGTTTTGAACGAAAGYTTGAGATGTCCTTTTTGCTCTTTACTCAAGAATATGATATTTTTTTTTATTCAATTTTGCAATTTGCTTGATTATTGTACATTAAGTGTGAAATGCATGTTTGTTTGATGAGAAAATACAAGGGGCTTCACTAATTCCAATTATGAATAATCTTTTATTTCATGGTAAAATCAGCYACACATTATTATAAAGTATTACCAGATATATGAATTGAATCAAACTTGTATTGTTGAATTGTTATGTCATGTATTTGTTGTGTTAGGCTAAGAAAGATCAATTAGCAAGAGAGCTGGAAGACCATGAAGAGAAGCACAGTAAAGCAAGGGTAAGGAAAAAAASACACAAAATGAGAACGAAGTCCTTAACATTGAAAGTTTTATGCAGATGCTCATACAATCATAGTATCATCATTGAAGATACATGTAGCTCAAAAACTTAGCACAATGTTTTATTATCTTTGTACAGTTATCTTTTACTTAATCAATCAGTGAAATGATATGGCAATCAAATGTCTTTTTCAAGGCTGTGGTYCATGAGAATATWTCAAGAGCACATCTGATGTTTGAAAACTACCCCAACTATCTGGTCCCTGATACCAACTGCTTCATAGATCAACTAAGTGGTTTGCAGGCTATTGTGATGAGTAATGACTTTACCTTGATAGTACCGATTGTTGGTAAGTATTTGTTAATCATGAAAGGAAACTACTTCACAAGCTTAATTTTTGATAAAAAGGTACACRGTATGAATAGAAGGTTACCAGCTTGTTTTGAAACATTGTTTCTTCTCTGGAGCAAAACGTTAGGGCTAGTTCACAGTGCAACATAAGCACAAGCTCCATAAAAAAGGGTTAAAGGATTAAGAAGACAAAAAGGAAGGTGTTTTATTCTGTTTATTCCTTTTATTTTATTAGCTTATGTCGCAATTCCAGCCTTTGCACATAACCCATCTGGCAAAATGTTATTAAAGAGTATYTATCCSTACAGGGTTCTTTTCATAGTGAAAMGAGACATCTCTAGCTGGCCTAAAGTAAAACTAATGGGGCTTGTCCTTGCACGCTCTTGAACTTTGTTCAAATACAGACWATACATACAGGCAGCCGTATAATAATGTACCTAATATATATGATATTTGTCTTAGTAATCAATGAGTTAGACGGACTGAAGAAAGATTTCCTGGTAGACAAATACCATGACTATAACCATGCACAGATGGTTATGAACAATGCCAGGTAATTGCTCTCAATGTACTTAATTACAAACTATTTAACAGTTGCACCACTAAGTTTGGCCTGTTTGTCTTATTGTTTTACAATCCACCAAACTACATGTKTAGGACATG